TGCCAGAAATAAAGACACGAAAGATGTGTGTCAAGCCGTCTTTAGCTGACACGGTAAATGTACTGGTGCCTTACAGGACTTCTCGGCTCTCTTCTCTGTGATCTTACGGCCAACATAGTCCCTTATGAAAAAGAGCTAAACCACTTCAGCCTGTTAATTTACACTTGGCAGGAGGAACAGAGAACGTGAAAATATTGAAAATAAAAAACAACCTTAACTGAAACCAAAGTTAAGTACAGAGTTTATTTTCAACAAATGTTATAGCTATATTGACTTATTACAGAATCCAGCAGTCTATGGACAGGAAAAATTTACCCACAGTAATACAAAAAATGCCGAGGTTTGGCAGTAGAGGGCAGCTAAGTGCAGTGTCTTCGTCTGATTACCACCAATTACTTTGGAGCACGTTAACTTCCCTAGCCATGTTCCAGTGTCTAGGTAAGCTGATGCTTCACTTTGTCTCCCAGCCAATTAATTATTTCTCATGGCTTCTTCAATCCAAGTAACATACCTTGAAACACGAACATAGACACCTGGCTTATTGGGGCGTGCACAGCCAAGACCCCAAGAAGTGACTCCTTGTAAGATGTATTTGTCCTTCTCGAAGCAAACCAGAGGCCCTCCGCTGTCACCCTACATGGAGGGAGAGAAAAGTCCATGTGAGGATTAAGCTGCCATCCTTTTATTAAGGGATATAATTCTTCTATTATTCAGAGGTACATTTTCCCAGTATTTGAAATCTGAAGACAACTTATTAACATATTATTTGAGCTTTATTATTTATTTATTATCTGCAGAGCTTCAGTATTTAGCAAAGTATATTCAGCAAAACCACACCTTTAGTTTTCCCTAGGGGAATAAAATCCCTCCTGCCTTGGGGTTTCTTTTAGACAGGGCTAGCCTGAGCATGATTGTAAGGTAGGTGTGGTTGGTCTCTGTACTATACCCTCTGCCCCCTTCCCTACTGGAAAGGCACCACCCTGGTCCCCATTCACCAGCACACTCCAGGGAGGTGTGTGGTCTGCGGTACTTATGGTACTTACTATGCCCTTACTACCAATCTGGAACTAAAGGCCCAAGAAATCACCTTAGATTATGAGTAAGTATTCAGGGACAGACCTAGAGGGCTTCTGAGCAATAGTTAGACTGGGACTTGAGTAACAAATCCTTCTTGAATTTACCACTTTGGGATCGAAACGTCTAAGGGGCTGAAAAAGGCCAGTACAGGACCAACTTCTCACCTGGCAACTGTCAGTGCCTCCAGACAAGTGCCCAGCGCAGAGCTCAGTCGA